GGGGGGGGGGGGGGGGAGGAAGATTTCACCACTGCTTGATGCAGTCATTTTAATAAATTCTAATTTCATATAATCAGCTAGAGCAAGTTGAAGGGAAGATTCGGGGTAGGGGAGAGATAGGAAAGACAAGGATAAGCAGCAGTCATTCAAAACCATAAAAGTCAATTGCCTGGTTTTCCACCTACCTATGAACTTGAGGGTTCTGTGCCCAAATTACCCTTAAAGCCTCAGGCAACATTTTTTTCAGTTGTCACTTTAGGTAGAGAGGTCCAAGTGACAGAGATAATGAGACTTTTGATGCAAGAAGGTATCCAGCAAGTATTTACTACAGGCACACCTTGAAAGAAGTGCAGGAAAGTTTGAGCCTTGCCTCTTACTCCTAACACTGACCAGTATAAACACACACCATTAATAGTGGAATTTCATTTATGGATTTTTCAGGATAAATCAGAGTAAGTTTGCAAAAGCTTTCTCCCAGAATTTTCCCGTTTCCTGCAAAGTACACTACCACTGTGAGGGGTCTGGTTCACAGCTCTGGAGCCAAACAGGTGAGGTTACTGCCTTGTATCTCCAGAGACCCTTCTGTAGCAATATCCCAGTAAATTCACACCACTTGGGGCTGCACAGCTTACTTCCAAAACAAAGACACCAATTTCAAAAGACCTGGTAGTTGTATGCATATTTTATATCAGATGATATAAAATCAGGATCAGACGATTTCCCGCAGTTTCAGGAATATTACTGCTGCAGTTTAGACCACTTTTTGGCCCTTTTTTTTTCTACTCTCAAAGGTTATCTGCTACCTCAGGCTGCTCCTTTGCCTACCCAGTTCCAATGTAATGGTAATAAATATGAAAGACTAAAGGTCTCCATGTTCTTCTGTAGTAATCCCCCATACTGACTGCATTTTAGAATACTGGAAAGAGCTCTCTTCATCCCAGAGGGGTTAGCGGGCTGCAAATTATTGCTTTAAAAGTGAGATACAGCAAGATGCAACTAATATAATGGCTAGTAGCAGAACAGCCAAAGTGCTTTCTTCCCCTTTAGTCTAGACCCAACTGCAAGGCATCCAGAGTATGTGATATATTTAAGAATAGTACCCATACTCTCTTTACTGTCCTCCTAAAGGCCCAGCACAGACCAGTGCTAAGTTGCCTGTGGAACAGAGAGCACAGCAGATTGTTGTCATGTGCCAGGCTCTTAGCAGACTTGCCTTTAATCAGCCAGCACCATCCAGAGCCAGATCAAAAAAAGGCATCACTAAGAAAATACCCAGTGTCTCAGCCACAGAGGGCTTGCTTCAGGAAATCTGTGGACGAAGCTGAAAAGGTAGCAATTTAAAACAGCAAAATTGGACAGTAAGAGCATTTACCTTTTATCTGAATGCGATTCATGAGACAGCCGTACAAAGTGTCAGACAACAGCAAAGCAGTTCATCTCCTACTGATAACCCAGCATTCCCAAGCCATCAATACTCATTTGAGTACTCCTAAAGTAAATTTAGCTTCATCTTCATTTTTTTTCTGTATTGAAAGACTGAGGACATATTCATGGATGTTTATGCAATGGCAAGAGAGCACAGTATTGCATGTTTTATTACACTAGCAAAGCAGAATCTCGTTCAGACACTGCTAGCATATAATTTCTGTCTCTCTTAAAGCTGGAAGGCAATCATTAGCATGTTGGATCTGGCAAGTTCGTATTATCTATCTGGTAATTACAGAAAGCTGTAGAAGCCTTTAAAAAATACCCACCAACTTCTGCATTTACTACACACCTGATCGAAATACTATCTCCATTACCTAAATTAGCAGATATTTCCCATAAACCATTATTCAGAACATTAACATTAATATAAAAAATATTAAATAATTATTAGAGGCTGTATCATCTATCAATTTATTTTCCTTTCCAACTTCAAAATTCTAAAACTATGCAATGTCAACCTCAGTACAGGAAAACATCTTACTGATGGTGATGACAGACTAAGTTACATGATCCTTTTTCAGGCATTACTAGGGCCAAATGAACATTACAACACAACTCTAGGTTTCCAAAATATATTTACCATTAGTCAATGCTATTCACACAGTAGCAGCAAAAATGTGCTAAATACACACCAAAAGATAATCCCATTCTCCAGAGACCACTGCAGAAAAGGACAGAAGGATGAGAGACAAGGGAGCGGGTGAGGGCATACATATGCCTATGTGTACAAAGTAATTGGGAAAATTGGCCTGTGTCTCATTATTTCAGTTATTCATGCTTCAAGTAAAGGGAGATGAGGAGGTGCCAGGAAGATCACAGAAGCTGGGACAAGACAGGTACCAAAGAACAGAAGGAAAAATCAAACAGAGCAAGGAAAGTGAGGCCAGGGAGGAGAGACCATGAATGAAGAGGGTCAGCCAAAAAGAGAGATTAGGGGCAAAAAAAAAAAAAAAAAAAAAAAAAAAAAGCAAGACGGAGACCACGGGGAGCAGAGGGGTACATCTGTGAGATGCTTGGTTGCTCTGTTCTCAGGCAGGGGCTTCACACAGCCCGGCACCTCACAGACCCCATCAAACCCCATGTCATGGTCTGAATGACACGAACTGAAATGGCAGGGCTCCTTATCTCCCTGGCTTATGCACCATTTTAATCACACTGGTTGTTCAGGCCCTGGGCAGGCTGTCCCCACAGGGAGGGGGGCAGCCTCCTGGCTCAGGACCAGAACAGATAACCAGGCTGCCCCCAGGGAGCCCCCGCCTGAGCTGCAGCACTACCGACCCCCACCCAGACATTTTCCTCTCGTTTTTTTTTTTCAAAGCAGCCTTAGGATAACGTAAGGCTATGAAGGCTGCAGCAAAAGCATGTCAGCACATGCATCTTGCTTCCTGATAATTCCCAAAACTACAGGAACAAACAAACAGATTCAATTACCAAGATAGACGCTAGCCCAATTCAAGGGGATTGGTATATACATTATAACAAGATGCTGGAGCTGCAGCCTGATCACATTTACATGAAGAAATCATTTTATGCAAATCTCTCATCCACGGGTGAAGGCCGTACAGGAGAGGAGAAACAGCTCTGTATGGAGATTCATGATGCATGGCAGATGGGCAATTTAAGGTAAATCACACAGTTCAGTTATAAAAGACATATAACCTGGGGAGAAAGTGTGGCTTCAAAGTCATAAATTATTTATAAATAATACAGCCTTCTCATGAAATATCCAAAAGGACAAGCACCCGTTTTTTTCCATTATTTTTCTCTCCTTTCACAAATCAGAGGGAAACTGAAAATGAATATCATATAAAGAATGAGGTTTTTTTATAAAGCTCATTGCTCTGTAAGATGGACTTGCAGGAGGATGGATTTAAATGGTGGAGCTAGTTAGGGGCTTGCAGGCAGGACGACAGGAACTGAGGGCAGCAGAGCTGCTGTGCTCACCCTGGAAGGGAAGCAGCAGATGTCAAAAGGAGGGAGCTGGAGCGGGCTGAGGAGAGAAACTGTTCGCCTGGTAACTCATGCCCTCCCAAGACTGTCACTGCCAGCCTGTTCAAAATCACCACCTAATTTCCACCAAATATTTCAGGGTTTTTAAACTGAAATCCAGAGCTGAGGTTCACAAAGTACAGCTGCAGCATCCACACATGTGGTGTGTTTTCTGTCAGCAGCGCTGCCCATACTCTGTACAACATACAGTCACACCTCTGTATTCTCAGCATTTCTGTTGTGACACCTCAGCAGCCTGACAACTTCTCATCTTCATTACCCAGTGCAACACTTGCCCAAATCCTCCTGCAACGACCAGTTCAACTGACTTCTAATTTTTTCTGATGTCCTGCCTGGTGACCCTGCACGCCTACCAATGCTCTTACAGGTATCCACCTTTTGACAGATACACACACAGCTCATAATTCTCTTATGTTGCAGACTCTTTACCTTTCAAAATCCTTTTCAGATCTTTATGCTCAGCTTGCATTCAATTCAACACAGTCTGGCTGGGTTTTTTTGTTTGAATCATTAGGGGCAGATACCCATCTGCTCAAGGATATTTTTGTAGTCTGAGCAACTCCTAACATTTGGGCTTTCAGCAGACCACTGTTTCTGCTTGCTTATATACAGATGCCTTAAGTGACTTTTACAATGTGTTTAAGCAGCTTCCCATGCCGAGCCTGAGGATAATAATTTCTTTCCTCTGACTTTTTTCAACTGATTTGCTGTTTTTTGGGCATGAGACAAGTACTTCATTGTCTAAAAAGCCCTAAAATTTAGAAGATACATTTTTACATACATAATTCAGAACTCTTCCGAAACTCTTTGAAGTCTTAGTGTGCATTTTCCTTGTATTACAAGTGGTAAGTTTGCCTAAATGCAACAGCAGCGTTATTCTTGAGTTCACTGCTGATGTCACATGTGTGGTATAAGGCAAATAAAATATCCATCAGAAAAAAAAAAAAAACCAACACTGATTTATTTTCTTATTAGCTAGAGATATTAGCATCTCTGGCTTGTATCAATTAGTTGCAACAAAAGGACAAAAATATTTTTCTTCAGTTTTAGAACTGCAGTATTTTTACACGAGCAAAACTAAAAATAAATATACTTCCTGTATGATAAAGAGCAAATGTAGCACCAAATGTCACTTCATCCATGCACTTACCTCTCTGCACCAGAGGTTTGTAGGTATAATCCCTCCAAAGCCACAATGGGGCATGAAAATGCAAACTCCAAAATGGCATGAAATGCACCTTTTCCTTTATCATGGAAATCTCAATAGCCATTGTTCATGTACACCTATGCCTGTCAACATCTGCAACCTTTTGGTAAACAAAGACGTCTGTTTTTTAACTTCCCTAAATATTTTTAAATTAACTAAAATGCCATCTGAACTCCAATCCTCCAAAGCATTTTTATTACTACGACACAGACTTCAGGTACCAAAGCCAAAGAACAAAATCTCCTTTCTGGAGGAAGGGATACCTCTATTGGCTAAACTTGTTCCTACCAAAGTCTACATCCATTTCCTAAGTCAGATGTTAAAAGAAGAAACTGTCACCCCTTTGGCAGCTCACTGAGGTCTTAGCCACCGTCACACATGCAGCTGTTACTCTTTTGAGGTCTTTGCTATTGCAAGCATATTGAAAATGTAAATGGTAACTAAGCTCTTGGGCACGCCTTTAATTGGGGAAGACCTGTGTAAAGGCTTGGGTTTCATCCTCCCAGCAGTGGGAACAGTCCTTCTCCTTTGGGAAAAATCAAACAACTTACGTTAAAGACTGTTCCTCTTTTGCCTCAAAAAACTATACCTGACGTGGAAAACCTACTATGGTCTCCAAGGATTGCACTAGAGCAATTGTATTGACACTGAGAAGGCAGCAGCAGTATATCTAAGATCAAGTTATTTCTGAATTTTAAAAATCATGAATATGAAATAAATATATAAGCAAAATGCTTCAGTCTTTATTGTTCAAACAAAGAGTCAGGTCATAAAAACAAATTGGACATCAATAGCCAAAGGATAACTCTTACTGCTGCTGTACTGTTGGCAAAGATTAAAGCTATGCCTGTAACAAATACAAAATTAGCTTGCAAGGCAAAGGGAGAAGGCTGAGGTCACTGATAACAGCTCCACCACTCCCACATGCATCAAAAGCCGCACATTTGGTGGGGTTTGTTTCCAGGCGGCTGTTAACTCACCAGGAGGAGGGAACATGCAGCGGCACACCAAACCATTGTGGTTTACAAAAACCCTGTCTGTAGGCTTGTGTTGATAAAAGTCTCCCGCCCTGAGTCTTGAATATGATACTGCTTAAGTCCTATTAATATGACAGCTAGGCTCAGCACCTCATCTGCTATGCTGTGGAAGCACATGGGACATGATGCCAGCTACAAATGGCTCAGAAATGAAGCTAGCAAGAACCAGGCTTTAAAGGAAAGGAAACGCTTCAAAAACAAGAGAAGGGGTGTGCACAGTAAGCATTATTTGTCCAACATTTACAGGCTTAAGTCACTATGAAGTATTAGATTTTTCCCTTATTTTTCACATATGTAGTCAGAACAGGGATGAAATAAGTGCTCTTTTGCACATATCCTGCAGGAACAGGAGACAGCAGATACTGTGTCCCTGCTGTACAATGCAGGGAACATAGAAGACATTTTATCTTTTAAAAACTAAAGGTGAAGAAGTGGGAGCACACTGAGAAGCAGCCATGAGGTGCCAAGAGTATATCACTACTTTTTTCAGTGAGAATGGAGAACCTTAGTTTTTTAGAAGAGCAAACTAGAGAACTGTTATTTTAGAACAGGCTCTCAAAAAAACTCTGCCTGCAAAGAAGGTGGCACAGAGGTAGTCCTACACCCATTCAGCACAGCTGCTTAAGAGTTGTAAAATCACAGAGTGAGGTGTGAGAGGACCTTTGGAGGCCATCTAACCCAATACCCTTGCTCAAGTAAGGCCTCCCAGAGCCAGTTGCCCAGGACTATGTCCAGGTGGGTTTTGAGTATCTCCATGGACGGAGACTCCACAACCTCCCTGGGAAACCTGCGCCAGTGTTCAGTCATCCTTACAATGAAAAAGTGTTTCCTGATGTTCAGAGGGAACACCTTCTGTGTTTGTGTTTTTGCCCACTGCCCCTTGTCCTGTCACTGGGCACCACTGAAATGAGCCTGGCTCTGTCTTCTTTGCACTATCCCTTTAGGTATTTCTGCACATTATTGATGTTGTCCCTCAGCCTTCTCTTCTCCAGGCTGAACAGCCCCAGCTCTCTCAGCCTCTCCTCATATGAGAGATGTTGTAGTCCCTTCATTGTCTTCATGGCCCTTTGTGGGACTCCCTCCAGTGCGTCCATTTCTCTCCAGTGCTGGGGAACCTCAGTACTGGCCCCAGCACTCCTGCTGTGGCCTCAGCAGTGCCTAGCAGAGGGGCAGGATCAGCTCCCTCCACCTGCTGTCAATACATTGTCTAATGCAGCCCACGACACTGTTCACCTTCTTTCCCACAAGGGCTCTTTCCTGGCTCATGTTCAACTTGGTGTCCACCCAAACCTCTGCACCCTTTCTGCTTTCCAAATGGTCATCCCCCTTCACATACTGGTTCCTGGGGTTGCTCCTATCCAGGGGCAGGAGTCTGCACTTCCCCTTGCTCCTGGTACCTACCACTCACAAGTTCAAACTTGGGATGTGGGATAACTCCTAGCTGCTCTCTGCAGCAGAGCAGAAGGTGACATTCCCTGGGCACAGCACCGATCAGCTGGGGCCAGCCACAGGTATGGCTGCCACAGCATGAGCCAGACTCTTGTCAGCACAGAACTTGGGATCCCTTGATCCCATGTTGGCTACATGCTCCAGCAAGGTCCACTTTACAGTCTGCACTGTATCAGCATCTCCTCCTTTAAAGCTCCACAGGCACTGAATTGCCAGGCCATGCTTTTGAAAGTTAACCCTTTCCTGTACCAAAGACCCATCACTCCCAGGGCTGGGGAACTGAAGTCCACTGGAGAGGATGATGCAGGAGAGTGAGAAAAGGCAAGTTAAAGTTTGCAGTGCATGCCTTCAGCCCCAGCACTCCTCCACTGCTAAACTGAAACACCAGGTGCATGAAGGAAGAGAAGGTAGCACTGCGCTTCTCCCTGCCACCAAAACCTTGCTCCTTAGCACACAACTAACTTAACAGCAATAACTTTTTTGCAAGAGCTTGCTCCTATCTGCATACAGTCAGGGTGATGCAGACACACACACACCACAGGTACTAGAGTGCTAATAAAACCAAGTAGGTAGGTGTTTAAAAGTTATAAATCTCTTAGCTCTGGTCATTCACCTACAGCAATCTTCATACTTATCTTTTCTGAATTCAATCTTTTTAAGTGCCAGCTGCTGATGAACTGCAGGAAGCATAATTTTTATTAAATGATGAACACTAAAACATCAGAGTTATACCTCTGGAAATCAATTTCCTATTGCCAATTGACAGATGCCTTAAGCCCAGAAACCCCCAAGGGGTTTCTGTGTGCACTTTTTTCATTGGTTTGGGTTTTTCAGGTTGCTTTTGTTGTTGTTTGGGGTTTTCTTCCTTATTTCTCTAGAATCCAATGAAAAAAAGCCTTTTCTGTTTAAAGCGGTAGCTTTTTTTAAGCACCAGTGTAATTAATTACACAAGCTAATACACAATATAAAACATACAACTGCTCTGGGGAGCAAGGCACAGTTCCAGCTGGAACACAGAAACTGCAGACTTCGAAATTCTCCTTCTCAGGGAATCACACCATTGCAATGTGTAATTTCTGCCTAGCACAGAAAATCAAGGGAAAACAAGTTTTCTTGTTTACTGTGTTTCCTGAATAAAATACTATTTACTGCTGATTAAAAGCAACAACTTGTGCTAATTTTACCACTGTCCAAGAACACAGCTGGGAGAAGCAAGAAAGTGGCAAAAATCATCCAAGAGTTTCCAGATTCCCAGACAGCCAACCATGAGGTTGAAACCTCCAGGGCTTTGGTGTCTCAGGGTAGATTCAACAAGCATCTTGAGCCACCCCTGCAGGAGCTGGGAGTTCTATTACCCATTTCATAAACTGGGCATCTCCTCCCAGACCAGCTACAGGTGTTGATGTGTCTGTTGGGAACCAAGTGCACTGTGTTACTTGTGCACACTATGCCTGAGTGCTGAATAAACGGGAAACACACAAAGGCTGAGTTATTTGCTGCTTGCCTGCTTTGCTGAGTAAATAATATAGCTAATTTCCTCATAACAATGACTTCCCATTTTGGTGGGAAACCAATCCTCTGCTTCTGGTTTGCTTTCTCCAGTTCTTTCCTAGGTCTGGTTTTAACCAAACCTTTTGAGGAGGATGATAACAAAATCACCACGAAAACAGCATCTGTTTATTCAGCGTAACTGGTCAGACCCCGCACCAGACCCAGACATCACTTCTTTCCCTATAATTTACCTTACTGTTAGTGCTAATCAATTTCTGGTGTATTAACTTTGCAGAAATGAGATGGACTTGTCAGGCAAAATTAAAGGTGGAGTCACAAGTAAGGGCTTCAGGGTTCACTCACAAATATTAAAATACACAATTGATACTGCAATGTAAATCAAGGGTATGAAATTAAATCTTCAAGAATGGAAAAAAATTAATTCTTGCTTTCAATTCAGTCAGTGTAATTGACTGGAGAATTTAAAAGGTTTGACAAACTGTCCACCAAGACACCCCAGAAAATTAAACTGTTCTACCTCTACATTATTTGCATAAACCCATTTCCCAATGAACTGGCAAATTTCATGTACTAAATTGCCAGGAATATTTTTTTCCAAATTCAGTTACACATATAACAACAAAAGGTGACTATATGTTTGTATCCTTTTTGACTACCAAGGACATAGTTAAGAAAACAAATAAAACTAAAGGAAAAGAATATTATATTCAAAAATCAAAGTGCATTAACAGATAATATTTCAAGTGCACATTCATTATAGGTGGTGTATAGGTAACTGTTTACCTCAGGTCAACATGCATAATGTCACATACTGCTACTCCCTTGTGTGATTAATTAACCCACACAGAAAAGCTCCACGACGAGTCACATCATAAGTCTTGAAATGAAGGTCACTGGGCCAGCTAGCAAATGACACATTAAAAAGAGGGGGGGAAAAGACAGCAAATGCTCTTTATACTTTCCACTTCACTATGAACATGAGGGATTTATTTTACTAATCCATGGCTGGCAGTGTCAGGGCTACTTGGAGCTGCAGAGACAGAGAGAAATATGCAATTTTCAAATCCCCTCCAGCTACATGAAGGTAAGCAAGAAGAGCACATCTGCCCCTACTGCTATTGCACTGCTGCTGGCGTTAGGACAACACCAGCTTCCAAAAAGGCTGAACTAGAGGAAGGCATGGTCCCTCCTGTAACTAGGGGAGTCAATTAAGATGGACAAGAGAGTGCCAAAGCATATCTTTTTACAGTGTGTTCATTTGTATTTTATTTTGCCAGCCATATTACAACATTACATTTCTATATGAGGAGAGTGAGAGGAACTGCACAAGTGACTTTGCCTATCCAAATAAAGGCTAACTCTGAGTACTTAGCCATTGGGCCACCATTTACCTTTCTAAGGGCAAAACAGTGTCTTTCCTATAAAATGTACTAAAAATGAGGCAATATTTGACAGCACCTCAAAGAGTGAGACAGAATACACACATATCTAGTTTGGCCTTTCTATATTTTCTTGTTCTTTTTCCTTAGGCAAGCAAATCTATAAAGCCTCTCATCTAATGTGTTAGATTAATAAATGATGAAGCTACAAACAAGAGAGCCCCAACCTTCTGTGATGTTTGTTCAATTATTTTGCATTTAACAAGAGTAAAGGAAAATTAAATTAATTTAACCTCTGTAATTGCCAAACTAAATTACACAATCTTGCCTGTTACAATAGATCAAACCAATACATTTACATTTACTAAGTTGTTGTAAAAAGTGTAATTTTTAATCTGAATAGTTCTTTGTGAAGTATTAGCTTTCATTTGTGGAAAAGTAAATACCAAATGTTGCAGCAGAGATCATGGAGGTTGTGCTTTTCCCCACAGCTAGGCTCAGGATCAGAGCTACTTTTAAGCTAAGCTCTATTACAGCATTTCAAAAGAAAGTAAAATTACATTTTGGAACGTGCTTGGTGAATATTCCGAACTAAAGTAAGTGTGTAATCACACTTTTTCTAGTTTCCAGGCCCTAGCAGTCTGAACATTGGTCTACACACTCTACTAAAAGGAAAAGTAGCTGCTATTTATTGAATTAAGAAACTTCTGCAGGCAGTGCAGTTTGTTAGGAAATCACCCTCAACACCATCTGTAGCAAATTCTTTAGCAATTTCTTCCTATCTCTCCCTTACACTCCAGTCTCTCAAACCAGTGTGCCTGGGTGGCAGCCTGAGCAGTGGCAGGTATGAGAGCACCGTGTAGGCACCAGTGCTCCTCTGCACCCCTCACTGCCCAACCTGATCCTGTCTTCCATGGCTCGTCCTAACTCCTGCTCTCATTGAACCTCCTCATTAACTTTCCCCCACCACAGCACAATCCCTAGAAGAAGAGGGCTTCAGGTCATCTTTCTCTGTGTACTTTTTCCAATTTGAAATCACCTTGCTTGGACGTGAGGAACAGCCCACTACCTGCAGCACCCCAGGTAAGCTTTCTCTGCAGCCCTGCACAGTGGCACAAACCCTTCCAAATGACTCTGGAATAGCCTGCCCGAGGTAAATGAACATTTGCCTTTGCCATTTCTTGTGGGCACACCCCAGCGGCTGTGTGGCAACAAGCATACCCAGGGCTTTCTTTCCCCTTCAGTCACTTCTGAACGATGGATCTCTAATCCCTTTGGCTTCAGCTGCAAAATTCCCATTGACTGATAATGGATTTTCCACCGATGTAGAATCAGGCACTTCAACTACACCACTACGAATTAACAGAGGAGAGCTCTGTTAATCCTTTATAAGCAAGCTTAATCTTGTGGTTTATAGAAGAAGCAAAGGCTCTGTTCTGTCCAATATCAGCCAGAATGTGATTACCATTCCAGAAAATCTTTTACATTT